ATTTCAAGTTCTTTTCAGAGTCACTTCAAATTTGAAGTCAGTAGCAGGCGCCCACCTGAAGAACGAGGGAAGTCATTTCAGAATTCAATTCAAGTTAGAAGTAGCAGAAGCTTGAGGCAAGAATGCGAGTCAACAGTCCGAGATGACCAATAGAAGTAGTCTCAATCCAGAATAAAAGAAAGAGAAAAAAGAAGAAGTAAATCCAAATACAGAAGCTGAGACAAGAGGTGGATTGTCCAAGACGTGGTTAAAGTCACGAGCGCTACATGTCTGGTCTTGATCCGAAAAAGCTGAAGAAGAATGAACTAGCACCTGCAGCTAGCAAGCATCAAGGTTCAAATTTATAATCCGCATGAAGAAACATTCAAGACACAAGATCAAGCTTCAGAAGACTTATAGATAGGAATCTTGTAACTTATAACTGACAGGCTTAGTTAGTCTTTTTCATTTTTGATTTCGATGTAATAACAGGACCACGGACCGGAACCTCGATGACACCTCAATCGTCTCTCCACCTCGGTAAACTCCGTCACTCTTCCTACTTCTGAACTACACGTGGCCTGATTCCTTTATAGCCAAGGATATGTAGGCAGATATCAGGGCTCGGTCACATTCTCTTTTCTTTTAGTTTTTGGTCTCCCTAAATAAGGGTCGGGTCAAAAAACTTGTCTAGTCATTCTTTGTCTGAAAATACTTCGTATTTTCAGTCAAAGAGAGGCAGCTGTAGATTTGACCCTCCCCAAGATTTTATATATTTTAGTATTTAAATATTTAGTTTAGGTCTAAATATCATCATTTTAACTAGTTTTGACTCTTTTACTTTATTTTTCTCACAAAATTGAAAAATACAAAAATAATTTTATTTTTCTCTATTTAATTAAGGTATTAGGTAATTTTAGAAAAATATTATTTTTAACCCATTCTTATGTTTAGTATAATCCTTGAAAATATCAAAAAATAGTTTCATGTCATAATATAGTTGTTTTAGTCAATTAGGATTAATTTTACAATTTTATGGTATTATTTTAGAAAAGAAATTAATATTTTTGAGCCAAATTGCAAGAATTATAGAATTAAAAGCCAAATTTATAACCCAATTCACAAATCTCAATCTTCTTGACCAAATTCACCTACCAACCCAACCCATAACCTTTTAATCATGGCCCTCTATTTAAATTGAATCCTATGGCCAATATTAATTTTCCCCAAAACCAAATAAAAAAGACACAAGACCAAAACCCTAGGAGCTCCCTTCTTCTTCAACCCTTCAGCACATAATACAAACCCTAGGGAGTAAAAACTGGCCAGCCACTAGACTCGCCGGAAAAGACCAGCCAGCAGACCCAAACCTGCCGGAATCTGCCGCCGACCTCCTCTTCTTCAACCCAGAACATCAGCAACCTAACACCCAAAACCGCCGCCAGCTGCTGCTTCTTCGACCACCAAACGACCCCTTTTGCTTCGTCATCTCTAAGCTTCAGCCTCCATTAATGACCAGCTCGCCGATCTCACACCATCAGCGCCCAACCTAAGAGATAGCAACAGTCGTCCCCTCATCTCCATCTTCAACTACAAAAACTTAAGAGAACCAGTCACACACCCCATCCCTGAGCTCGCCGGAAACACACATACACACATGCACATTATCGAAAAAACAGAGGCAGGGATCGGAAAAACGGGACAGAATCTGGGAACGAGAAAAACTAAAAATAGTTTGAAATTAGTTCTTGGTTCAAGTTGTATTTTCCATTTTTTTTAAAAATCAGAAAACAAAAAAAAACAAAAAAAGAAAAGGTTCCGTTTCTGATTTCTGCCCGAATTGGAGTTTGTTTGATTGAGTCGAGTTTTTTTCGCGGTCAAGGTTCGAGGTTAGAGCCCGAGGTTCGTTTTAAGATCATGGTGAGGTTCCTACGTGTTGATTTTATTTCTCGATCGATGTCCGATTTTTCAATCAAAATTTTGAGATAGTTAAGGTCTACTTCTAACCTTCTGCTACTATTTTACTTCATAGCATATCGTGCCGTTTTATTTCGTGTATGTCGTTGCTTTGCTTGGATGATTGCTTGGGTTAATATTTTGACAACAAAAGATTTAGGTTAACTAAGTTAATTAGATTGATTGATTGTTTGGATATTCTGCCAAGTCTCAAGCGTGGGGTTTTGGACAGAACTTTGAGTTGTTGGGTTTTAGATAATTCTCTAACTTTGATTTTTATTTTTATCTATTTGGGGTCGATAGGAGCATGCTTAGGCCGACCACACTTGGGCAGGCAAGCCTTATGATTTTTATTAGTTTTGAGGCGAGAGGTCGTTCCCTTAGTTAAATTTATTCAGGGAATGCCCCGTAATATTCTGTAATTAGAAGCCGTGACGAACATCGTAGAAGAAGTAGCGTCGGATAACTTAGAACTTTCATTTTCCTTCTTTTAATTTTCTTTTATTTAGGTGGGGACGACCTCGAGGCTCTTGTGTGTTTATTTTGCTTTTTCGTGATTCTACCTTAACTTGAATATTTTAAAAGCCGACTAGATCAAGTATGAAACCGTACTAGTTACGGGACTTGGGGAATTTCTAACACCTTCTTCCTGAGTCAAATGAACCCCCTTACCCGAATCTCTGGTGCAGGTTTAGTTTTGGAGTCTCAAGTGTTTTGAAAGGAAAAAAAATTATTTTTAGAAAAGCAGTGATCTGACACACCGAAATCAAATGTCAGGTGGCGACTCTGAGTTAATCCTTTTGAACACAAATTTTTGTCACTTTCGAATTGAAAAACCCTTTTGAGCTTTACTAAATCTTTTTAATATTTTTAAGAGGGTTAGTGAGGTTTGTAAAAAAAGGGTGTGACAAATATTTGAAGAGAAACAAACACTGTTTTCATCACCACAACACTTAGAAAGCAATACACCAAATATTTGATATGTCCTCATTTGTTACATACAGTTCAAAGATTAATACACAATCACATAGATACAAATATGCAAAGGAATAGAGAATTTGCTTATCTTAAATAGTCAATGAGAATTGCAAAC